AGGTAGGTAAGTGTATTCAGTACATTGTTTTAATTTTTCATATATCATTTAATTGAGAAGAAAAATGATTAACTTTTAAAATCAACATTTAAGACTGTTGATCACCTGATCGTTTCTTTATTTCCTATTTCGATTCAAAGTGGTAGATGATTAGAAGACTTCTATAGAATAATATGTATGTATTCTACATTCATTAGTCATGTAATAATGTCTTAATACTCTTGCAATTCAATGTGATATAAACGTGTACTGTAGGATAAATGTCAGTCAGTCGGTCTGTTAGCGGGACATAGACTAGATTAAAGCATGCTCAATGCATGATTGTTTTGGTGCATGCTGATTGGCTGATTCTTATCCAATCACCACTAGTCGATAGTCGGAGAATACTCTGGAATCTTCTTATGTAAAAACTATAAATATACCGACGTTTTCCCCTATTGTGCTTCCTACTGGCTTCTGACTTGCTATTTGGAATATAATCTTTTTCCTGTTCAACCGTGTTCTGATTTGGGGACTTGTCGAGTGAATCGGTGTCCGAGAATACTAAGCAATAGGAATAGCTGGGTCATTAACCGTAAGAAGCTAGAGTTATAACACGGTCAGTCAGTCATTTGAAACGTAGAATCTGGAACATAAATGGGTCAGTTCGTTTCCACACTAATCATTCTCTTTTCTTTGATTTTCTTAATCTTCTTGCTTCCAGACTTTTGACTTTCAACTGATTATATATACTACTTATATCTCTCGACATCAGTAGTACACACCACGACAGTATCAGTAGTCATTGAAATGACAATATGATAACAGAAGAAACAATGAATTTATTCAGTAAAAATAGTATAAGATAATTATGAAACTGAAGATCTAGTTGAAGACAGTTAATGAATACATCTATGGTAAGAGTATGAATTTTTTCAGGCTAGCGTTTTTTAGCGAGTTAGTTTTCTACGGGATGTGGTCGCTAACCCCATGCCCAACCCTCCTCCTTTATCCGGGCTTGGGACCGGCAGTAGCCCCCGGAGTGACTCCAGGTGGATCATTGTGGAACAATCAATTGAATGGAATTCATCAGTCTACATCAACTTCATTGACTACGAAAAAGCATTTGACAGCAGGGACAGAACAACACCATGGAAGCTCCTTCGACACTACGGCGTACCTGAGAAGACAGTCAGTATCATATAAAATTCCTATGATGGATTAAACTGCAAAATCGTGCATGGAGGACAGTTGACAAACTCGTTCGAAGTAAAGACCGGTATCAGGCAAGTTAGTTTACTCTCACCCTTTCTCTTTATCCTGGTGAACGATTGGATCATGGAGACGTCAACATCTGAAGGGAAGCACGGGATACAGTGGACATCTATGACGCAGTTGGACGATCTAGACTTCGCAGATGACCTGGCTCTCCTATCGCAAACGCAACAACATATGCAGGAGAAGACGACCAGTGTGGCAGCAGCAGTAGGTCTCAATGTACACAAAGGGAAAAGCAAGGTTCTCTGATACAACACAGCATGCACCAACCCAATCACAATTGACGGAGAGGATTTGGAATATTTAAAAACATTTACATATCTGGGTAGCATCATTGATGAACACGGTGAATCTGATGCAGATGTGAAGGTGCGGATCGGCAAAGCAAGAGCAGCATATTTACAATTGAGGAACATCTGGGACTCAAAACAACTCTCTGTTAACCAACACCATGGTTAGGATTTTCAATACGAATATCAAGACAGTTCTACTGAATGGGGCAGAAACCTGGAGAACTACGAAAGCCATCATCCCGAAGATACAGGTGTTTATTAACAGTTATCTACGCAAAATACTTCGGATCCGTTGACCGGACACTATTAGCAACAATCTACTGTGGGAGAGAACAAACTAGATTCGATTGGAGGAATAAATCAGGAAGAAGTGCTGGAAGTGGATAGGACACAGATTGAGGAAAGCACCCAACTGTGTCACAAGACAAGCCCTCACATAGACTCCTTGATGCCAAAGGATAACAGGAAGACCAAACAACACATTACGTCGAGAAATGGAAATAGACATGAGAAAAATGAACAGGAATTGGATGGAACTGGAGAGGACGGTGCAGGATAGAGTGGGTTTGAGAATGCTGGTCAGCGGCCTATGCTCCATTAGGAGTAACAGACACAGTTAAGTAAGTAATTAAGAGTATGAATACTCAATAGTATTTATTGTCTATCCTAGAATCCAAGTAATTTGATGCATAACGGCGAGATTATAATTTATGGACTAGCCAATCACGGTATAAGATGATAGGTCTTGGATTATGGCACAAAATTCAAACTTCCATTTGTCTAAATAGCCTCATGGAACTTTAGCCAATGTCAGTTCATGATGAAAATCCTAAATCGAATCCCTAATCCTAACCATCAATTGTATATTATAGAATCCTTATTCTTCACACAGGTTTATAACCGTCATTTAGCCATATTAAGTAGGCAGACACTCACAAGGTCACTTTGGCATCGTTCCAACATCGTCTATAAATTAAAGTCTCACTGTAGTTTGTTACGTTTCAAAAGAGAAATGATAATATTATACGCAACATGAATTATTATTGTAGTGAACAGAACACGGGTGGGGACAATGGAATGTAGTTAGCACGCAATGACAGAGTTACTTGATAAAATAGAAAAACCATATAGTAAATCGTTAATCTGCAAAATATCATTCCATCATATCAAACCGGACTGTTGCTGTTGCAGTCATCAATCCATTGTCTCACATTTCATGGTTCATGCGTTTTCTTACAAATTGCATTACGTTCCCGCTCTTCCTTTGTTGATCTTTCCCCATCTTCTGCTGCCATACATTAAGTTCTTTAACTGGCTTCATATACTACTTATATCAATACAATTGATATCTGTATATGTTGACAAAACTGTCAGTCAGGCGTTATTTTTAAACCACTGAAGTCATATTCACTGGTTTATACTTCCAAAGTCAACCAATTCAATGATACAGTACGATATCATCTCATTCTATCGGTGGGTATCTCTTTCATTCCCGATTAGTGTGAGACATTCCTTCGGTGTTCCCACATTTTTAATGATTCCTCTTTTGATTTCTTGAGAAAAATTAGCTTCAGTTTGAGTTCGTAATTATTTTAATATGTGGATTCATGAGTCGATTAAAGTTAGGCCAACCATAGAAAATCTAGAAACACTAGACAGCCGTTCCACCTCAGTATGGGACTCTTCAACAGTGAGCATCCACGATCCAACACCAAACGAACTCATACACAGGACCTTCGTAAAAGTGCGCAAACGTTTAACTCCTAGATCACTCGGCCTACATCCATTGGTTTTAATGACTAACTTCAATCGATCCATGATCTTGTGAAACACTTCATCTATTGTTTGAGGTAGACAATTGTTTTCGTTCTACACGGATTGGATTCCATTGGTCACAGCTTCGCACTAAAACTCGAAGAAATCATCTTGGAGCCAGTCATCAGTGATCACATGATGATTATGATCAGAACGAGGTTTATGTAGATTGTTTTAATTTTAATAGTTGAATTCACGAGTCCTAGTATGGGACTCCTATTAAAATTATCAAGATCTCCACGAACTCCATTCGAATTACAATTGTTTATTATCATAAAAAAACATATGAACTGTTGTAAGATCATGAAAACAAAGGGTTAACTGAAGGAAAATATTTCATTGTATGAGATTATACCAAATAATTCGAGCTTATGAATCGTTGTATACTGATTAAACGACCGAACGGAACCCTGGTTGCTTCCATATACAGAAGTAATCGGTTTAATCTGGTTTACAGTAATAAGTGCACACATGAAACTACTCACTAACGCCTGTTACCCCTCATGAATGAGCACAAGCTGCACACCAGCATTCTCCATCCAAGCATGTACTGGGAAATCCTTTCCAGTTGTTATTCATCGTTTTCATGTCTACTTTCAATTGTAGACCCACATTGTTCTTTGTCCTCCCTCTTTTCTGTTCCCCTTCAGCATTCCATCATGTATGTTCTATTCACTACCAACGTCGTTTCCTAATTTCTTCATTATCTGGAAGTTGGTTGGTTCTCTCCCACAACACATGAAACTACCTTCATCAATATTAAAAAACTTACAATTGACCACAAAATCCTTTCATTTTATAGATTATGTACTCTACTTATTCAATTTCTATCAATTTACCAGGCTTTTTATGTTCCCGCGTGTATAACATTGAAGTTGTAATCTCATAGCGTATTTATCCTTTATTTCGAGAACTTCAATACAATAACCATGGAGTTAAAACCATAGTGACAGTTCAGTATTTTTCTAAATTTCACTGTCAATAATAATGCGTTCAATTTCTAAGGTTTGTTGAAGTTATTTAAAGATGATAAGTACATTACACTCTCTATTCAACTACGCATACGCTTTAATTCAGTAAAGAAAATAAGCATACAAATTATGTGAAATTCAGCACAAGGTAATCGCTTTAGCTGGATAACCATTGAAGGGCTAGATATCTTATTCTTATTAGTATGAGATTTCTTAGAATTGCACATGCCGTGAGAAGTTATTGGCTAGCTACAACCAATTCAACCACATCTCCATAATCACTCAACGTCCACTTAGTTTTTAACAAAAAGTCAAACTACTTACAAGTAGTTTAAATTTTCTACAAAAATATTATGCTCTGAAGGTTATTTCATTGAGTTATTGGAATGAAACAAACGATTACACTCTTGTGTTTATTACCGAACTAACTAACAATACTGTACATTTACATCCAGCAATTCCAAAACTAGTCTGTAGGATAGGGATTTTGAACAGTGATCTAGAAATAGACTCCTTTATTTAGGTCTTAGGTTCAAATCCCATGGGACAGGATCATGAATACGCACTATTGATGAATTCCACAATAGGACAAAACGACCGTTCAATACTTCCAAGTTTTTCATGATGATCTAGCTTGTGATTCCCAATAAAACACTGGAGTTACTTTTCAATGACAAATGTATTTAATAGTTCATATAAAAACTCAATTCAATAATTGTACAGATAAACATTCATATTTTATCTGTTCCATTGAGTAAATATAACAATAAATGAAAACAAACAATTAAAACATAATAGAATTTTGTTTTGAAAAAAAGGAAATCTCAAAAATCAATGGTTCCATGAAACACACACACACAGATACATACATACATACATACATACATACATACATACATACATACATACATACATACATACATACATACATGCAGGCAGGCATAGATACATAGAATCAGGTAATTCAGTGAAGTAATAGAGAAAACAGTAACTCGATAAATGTAGACCAATTTTTTTTCTAACGTCTACAACAACAGCATAAAATATCAATTAAACAACTAAAGACATTGTAACAACATGAACAGATAAGGATTATAATGAGCGCCAAAACAGAAGCACATATTGTAACAGCAAGTGGCCACCAACTGTAATGAAAATAAAAAGTAATAATAATGAGATAAGTGAAAATTTAAAATAGAACACAGATTGTTTAGTTTATTGATCTGATTACTTACTTACTTACTTACGCCTGTTACTCCTCGTGGAGGAGCATAGGCCTAAAACCATCAATCTCCATCCAACCCTGTCCTGGGCACGACCTTCCAATTTTTTTCAATTTACTGTTGATCCTTTTCATGTCTGCTTCCTCTTCTCGACGTAATGTGTTCTTTGACCTTCCTCTTTTCCGCTTCCATTCACGATTTCAAGTCAGGACTTGCCTCGTGATGCAGTTTGGTGATTTTCGTATTATATGTCCTATCCAATTCCAAAGTCTTTTCCTAATTTCCTCTTGCAGATGGAAGTTGGTTCGTTCTCTTCCACAGTAGGCTGTTGCTGATGGTATCCGGCCAATGGATGTTGAGTATCTTGCGAAAACAACTATTTATAAATACTTGTACCTTTTTGATAGCAGTTGTAGTAGTTCTTCAAAATTCAGTTCCGTATAGTAGAACTGTTTTAACGTTCGTACTGTAGCTCTTCTCGAGTTACTGCCGGTCCCAAGCCCAGATAAAGGAGGAGGGTTGGCCATGGGGTTAGCGACCTCATCCCGTACAAAAAATAACTCGCTAAATAAACGCTAGCCAGAACAAAGGTTACGTGATTAAATAGAATGGGAGTTGTAAATGTTTGAAATGCCAACTATCGATCGCTTAACACGAAATCTGGAGATTAAAGATTCGAATTTATGTTTGAACATGGATGGATACAAGTGAGAATTCCTTGACTCATGAGGAACATTAATCCAGGGATTATTCACTTATGCCAATCAATGACCAATTTAATACTCTTTAATATTTGAAGTTTTTGCATCAGTGAATTATCTTAGTTAAATAGGAAACACTAAACAATTGTCTCATCTTAATATAAAATTTCTTAGCAGTACTGATGCAAAACTGTACACTTTACGGATGATACTCAAAACATTCAAGTATCTCTGAGAGCGGTTAATCCTGATTTGGATATCTAATGTTTAACATTTTCAACTTCTATCAATCTGTGATATTATTGTTATAACGTGTGACCGCCGATTAATGTGCAGTGACTGATCGATCCGATCAATGACGCATAAAACACGTGCGTGTAATGTACAGTCTTGATTGGCCCTGCTTTGTGCCTAGCCCAGCCAGTTAGGTCCAGAACACAAATCTCAGCCTCTGCAATATGAATCATTATATTTCAAACATACTGGGTTTATATACACCAGACAAACAGACTACATCGTACCATAAAATAGGAAACAAGATTTGTACAAGAGATATCCAAAAGTGTCTGTGAATGTGGGAGATAGTCATTGATAGACGGGGCATAATTCAAGAATGGTAAATCGGAGAATAATAGTCTGTGGGTCAACATAAAGCTCATAATAAGGGAAATATGATTAGTTTAGTTACATAACAAAGAAACGATAAAAATATACGCATAGTATTGGTCCATAAATGGATCTCAATAGTTACCATTCATTATTCTCATTGGGATATAACAATTATCTAGATATTTTTTTAAAATCTCATTACTGACTAAATACCCTAAAAACTCATTTTGTTGAAGTCAATCATGTAATGTCACTATGATACTTCATATTCAACAATCGCCTTCAATACTTTATGATATGTGATATTCAAAGTGTTATATCCCGATAAGCATAAGGAATAGTAACTTTGGGGATCCATTTATGGACCAATACTATGCATATATTTTGTATTGTATAGTTGTTAGGTAACTAAACTATCCATATTCGTGTTCCCCTTATCGTAAGCTTTATTTTGACCCATGAATTATTATTATACGATTTACCATTCTTGAATTATGCCCTGTCTATCAATTAGTACCTCCCTCATTCATAGCCACATTTGGCTAATTCTTGTACAAATGTGTATATCCTATTTTATTGGTACGTTGTGATCGGTTTGGTTGGTATATAAACTCAGTATGTTTGTAATATAAAGATTCTTATCTCAGAGGCTCGGAATGGTGTTCTGGATTTAACAGGCAGGCATGGCTAGATGGGAAGAAGGACTGATAAAGATTCTAGACTGCTGGTACGGGTTGTCTACATCATTGATCCGATCAATAAATCATTGTTTTCTAATTGAAGGTATCATTACGTTATAACTTAATAGGACAAAGGATACAAGTTATAACACAAAGTTTTGTTTTTATGTCATCTAACAATATTTTTTCGGATGTAATCTATTACGATTTAACTCAAATGGTAATTATATCTGGCTGCTAGTTTGTTTCAGCGTTTATATTCACAAAGGGGACTGTGCAAACAATTAATCATGTTGAACTTAACAAGATACGAGTTACTGTGTACGAAATTGTGACATTTTACATTAATCATTGTAATAAAAAGTGGTTCGTAATGAGATTAGATGGTGGTTGAAGGTAGTCGACAGGAAACCCTGGACTCGGGTTTCGTGCTACTTGGCACTCGTCAGTAAGGCGTACCTATAATGTTGAGGGAACTGGTGCTCCCTGAAGAATCCGATCCCGTGTCACCCAGGTCCACAGTCAGAGACGTTACCACTGAGCTATCCAGGCTGCTACTGACCTGTAGGACTGAGATGTAATCACAAATGATTGATCACTGGGTGGTGATCAATGTCATGTGTGTCAAGTCCTTATTATTAGTGCGGATCGAATGCTATCGACCATCTTGCAATGATCACCACTCAGTGATCAGTCAACTGTGACTGATTAGTAGTCTTTGCCAAGTTCAGTAAACTACTAATGAGAACTCATGAAATTAAACAGATTCATATTATTCTGGTTCAATTATTAAACAGTCGTCTTTTTTCTAGTGTAGGATTCCTGAATATTGACTACTAACCATCATATAGTCGGTTGAATACTAAACTTTCATAACTTGATATCAACATAATACCTTCATATTTATATGAAGCTATCATCGCGTAGATTATTGTCTTACTGTTGAATTGGTTGTTTTCACGAATCTCGATACTGATAGTTTGCATCCAATCTATTATTGGATAAATTACTAAACTCGACTACTAACCAGATCTCAGTGGTATGTTCAAGGAAAGAGTATAAATGCATTTTCATGATAACAATAAGTCAGGTTCATATTTTCAGCAAAGGGATTTTGTGGATATTGTGGTAATCTTTAATGGTTGAATTAATGAATTGATTAAAGCTAGACCACCATGGAAAACCTGGAAGCACTGGACGACCGTTTCATCCCAGTATAAGATTGTTAGATGCCATCTCAGTAATCTAGAGGTTAAGCGTTCCGGAATGAGATCGAAGGTTCTGGATTCGAGTCCTCTTGACGTGGGATCGTGAATGCACACTGCTGAAGAAATTATACTAGGAAAAAATGCCCGTCCAGTGTTTCAAAGTTTTCAATGGTGGTCAAGCTCACATCGACTCGTGGATTCAACTATTAAAATTAAAACAATCTCCATAAACCTCATTCTGATCATAATCATCATGTGATCACTGATGACTGGCTCCAAGATGATTTCTTCGAGTTGTAGTGAGAAGTTGTAACCAGTGGACTCCAATCGGTATCGGTTAGAGACAGGTATCTACCTCAGACAATGGGATGAATGGTTGCGCAGTCATTCATGGATCGATCGAAGTTGGCCATTAACATCACTGGATGCTGACTCAGTGATCTAGGAGTTAAACGTTTGCGCACGACTCCGAAAGTCATGTGTTCGAGTCCGTTCGGTGTTAGACTGTGGTGAGTCACATACTGGGGTGGAACGGCTGTCTAGTGCTTCTAGGTTTTCCATGGTTGGTCTAACTTTAATCAAGTCATGAATTCAACTATTTGGTTCATATATGTTCACTTTTTAAATGAATCTAAACAGACACACACACACACAAAAATTATGTTTCAACAAATAAATACTTTACCGGAATACTTTACAACATGCCGGTTTATCAGAAGGATCTTTACAGCAATATGTTGAATGTAGAAATGTATTGCCAACATCACAGGGTTCACCATCTAAATATATAATGAACATATTGAATAGATATTCATTAGTGATTATTTTAATATAACGATTATTATTTGTGTCAGTTATTTAAATCTTCCTATTCACTTTATGGATGTAACGGTAAAAAAATAGTCCGCAAAATCAATAGCTCTGTAAGTTTTCAATATTGAATGCTGACCATATTAGTTTTAATGAATTCACCTAGCTGAAGCTGCTCTGTCATGCATCTGCACGAGATCATGATTGGGAACGCCGTGCTCAACATCTACTGCAATCGCTGGCCAGATTAGATCAGACGATTCTCAATATATTGATAGCCTATCAAATATATCTTCGAACCTCCTCACTTCTGACTTTTGGTTTCACTTGGTGGGTACAATTCATAGCAGAAGGTGTTACTAGTTAAAGCGTTGTCAAACTCCCAATACCTGTTGCATCTTCATGGACTGTAAATGATCTGTCTTTTTTTCTGAAATATATGCCCTCTAAGCGATTAATTCAATGTTCAAATGGTTCAAATGGTTGTGGACGGAATAGGAGATTTCGCTTAACCGGCTTCCATGTCTAGTAGCAGTGGATCACTAACACTAAACAGGAACTCAAAGCATACCCATGCTAAAATTGAGTTACAAAGATTATCAATAGAGTCGGATAATGGTTACTGGTGGAATTTTTGACAAGTCGGCTAGATATATTGACTCTCCGTTGCTAATGTTTATGTCAATATTCTCATTAATTTTCACTTTGAATATAAAACATGTCATTCACTTATCTACTGAGTGGATAACACTTTCGGCATTTGAAGTAGGAAGTACTAGGTTCGAATACCAGGGTGTATTTACCTTCATCTGACGGGTCCTAAATAGAATGTAAAGCTTGTCCTAAACTTCACTATCAGCCATTAATAAGTTTTTTTCTAAAGAACGTAGAGAGAAACAGCTAGAAGCACAAATAACAACAAACACAACTCTAGCGTATATATACAGTATAGAAAGGTCCTTGGGAAATGTCACAAAATAGCATATTAAAAGATACAACGAACCAATGACATTTAAGATCCTTCCAAATGGGAAATACAATCTGAAGGTAAAAATGGTCACCTCTGGCGAGAAAACAAGAAATTCAAATTTCCGACATATAAACTTACGAACATAAAACGTTTAATAAGTGATTTCTAGGGATCTAACATCTTCAACAATACGACTGTAACGGAAGGAATACACTTTTAACTTGTTTATGTATGAACTGCCATCATTTTTGTGATGTAGTCCAGTATGTCTGTACGTAAACTCATGAATGATAAAGACTTTTCTACTATATTTATTGATTTAATCTAAACAATGTGGATAAAGGTGTATGTCAGAAGGAATATTAAGAATTAAGACGACCTAGATCTCAACTTAAAGTAAATCTTGCCAGTTGAACTGTATCCGTAGATAGAACATAGGAATTTAGACAATAGACGAAATCGTATATATGAGGTAGAGATATTCACCGGTATTCTGATTGAATACTCTTCTCTAGATATCGATTAGCGTTACATTGCTGGTAGGCGGCCCATGCTCCTCTATGAGGAGTACCAGGAGCCGGAATGTATGTACATTCAAAATAGTAACAATCTACCATCTTTTATGGATCATAATGAACAACCATATAGTTCGCCATTGACTGAAGTATATCATCAAGTGAGAACAAGAAAGAGTAGGGGGATAAGACCATTAATCACCAGAAAAATATTGAGTAAAGATATGTAAAGTAATTTTGTAATGGCCATCTCCGTTTAAATTAGGTGTTGCAGATGTTTTATAAATAAACTATCCAGCTTAAAGAGAATGGCACAAACAAAACCATCCTGTTAAGTTATAAATCTTCTTTATCAACTCAAAATCGTGTTAGTCCTTAGAAAGATAATTATGAAGAGACTTTATTCTCATATTGTAAGGGAAGACAGAAAGTGTATACACTGAGCCATGTCATCCACAGTCTCCCAATCATTGGTTTCGATAGTGACGCATACCCCAACCAAATAGTCTGCAACTACCAACATGGCTCAGACTTGTTTCGACTCTTCAAATTTTACAATTTCTATGGATGTGAGCGTTTTTTGTCTCCTTTGGAAAGTTATTCATGTTCTACTTTTTCAGACTATTCAACTCATTTGACAAACTGTTCGTCGTATATAGTATTGATTAAGGGGTTTCTAAGTAGTAGATATCTTATGAACATCAAAGAGATTTAATCTAGGGAAAGAACTTTCTGTTAACTGTTTTCATACCGTAAAACCTAAATTGGAATATAGTTATTTCAACAAAAGTTGTGTTATAATCCATAAATATTTATTAAATGATGATATTTCCATTCAAATATCTGACAGTTCATAAGGTCCAGGTTAAATTTTGACGCATTTTATCGTTTAACTACTCATAAGTAAACAATTTTGATTACCTAAAAATATCTGCAAAATTCTATTATCCATCACCCAAAAGAAATCATATTTCTGAAATTTTTATATCTTTAAATGTTAAGAGAAAGAAACGAGACGATATATACTACCTCCTATAAGTTGGTACAACATATGATATGCTAAAAAATATGTATTTCAGCACGGGCGTGGTGGCGTGCGCCTGTAATCTAGCTACTTGGAGGCCAGGGTGCGGGATTTCGTGGGACCGGGAGTTTGGCATATGGGTGCTCATGTTGATCGGGCGTCCACGTTAAGCACGGATGACCTGTCGGAGGTTGGGTTGTCCAGGTCATCTAAAGAGGGGCGAACCAGCCCAGGGGGGAAACCCGGCAGGCAAAAGTCCCCGCGTGGTGCTGTAGCATAAAAGCCCTGGTATGGCCGAGAGTTGAAAGATTCTACGCTCCCTCTCGAAATCCGCCCGCATGGCCACGCGTATATAGCCTCTGCCAGGGAAGTCCTACTCACTGCCTTTTTGCACCACGGGTGTTGTTTACGAAAATGAGAGGACGAAAAGCGAATGTCCGGCGCTTTAACCGGATTCCAAACCAATGGTGCACATGGGCTCCAGTATCCTGAAGGAGTAAATGGCGTATGAACCAATTGTTGGTCACCGGCTTCCATGGGACTGTATCTCCTTACGATGCTCCACTGCCTTGTGGACCAGACCTTCAGATCGAAGGCTCCGGGTGTGACCCCCTAAGAACACCAACTACTTCGGTTTGGGCAGCCGGGCAGTATCACAACCCTCACACATATCAAATGAGATTTATGTGGCGTATATGTATTTGGTGCCTCTTTGTACCAATATCTATGTGTTAAAATAAAAAAATAAATAATAAATATGGGTATTTTCATTCTGAATATCTTATTTTCAGAATTATGTGAGATCGAATGTTGGACAAATGTACCATATTTCTTGTCTGTATGATTACTGAAAATTGCTACATTGAAGCTCTGTGAAATATTTATTATTTATAAGTATGGCGGACGTTGGATTCTTTATCAAAAAGCTTGCAATAATCTTTCTTCGAGTATGATAGTATAATAAACTTGATTGTTTAATGGTTAGTCCTTTCTCAATATCCAGATGATGAGTCTCAAATAGGACGAAACGCACGTCCTGCATTTAATTGCTAGCCATTATCTATCTTTATTTACAATGCTTGTGAATTAAGACAATATCTAAGCAATACGCACAATATGTATATATGCCAATAACAGACTGATCAATCGTAGTCCTAAACATCAGTGGGAACATTCAAGTAAGATCCATTAGTGATTGAAGTCATGAAAATGAAAGTTATAAAAAGATGCAAAACTGATTAACAATAAAGGTGATGTATCTTAACAATGTGCGCTACGAGCTTTAAATCTTCAAACCATTAAGTTATGAATGAGTACTACAGAGAAATCTAATACTCAAATAGAACAAACCTTCAGTGGAACATAAGTTTCAAAAGTTGTTTAACTAAGATAGGCTAGTGATAGAAAACAATATAAAGCAACTTGTCAATATCGGGTTGTGGTGACTGTTGATGTTATGATTGAGATCATGATTAGATCAATGTTAGACCACCATTGAAAACTTAGAAGTACTAGACAGCCATTTCGTCCTAGTACAGCACTCACTAGCAGTACACATCCACGATCTCACACTAAAGGAACTCACGAACATAGGACCTTCGAACTCGAACACACAAACACTTAACCTCTAGATCACTAAGTCTGTATCCAATGATATTAATCACTAACTTCAATCCATCCAAAATGTTACGTAACCATCAAATTTCTTATTATTAATAAACTGATCAATAAATCAAAATAATTAAGGCCAAGGTAACGATAACGGCAGGACGTACTTCTTTTGTACGCATAGTTCTGGTTTACTCTTTTGGATGGTAAGAGCTTCGGCTATTTTTAAGAGTTGGATACGAAGAAATCTGGGTAGATTTGAACGAATCATATAAACAACCTTAAAATGAAATTGTGGATCTGTAGAATGATTACAGTGGAGCAAGGTACATTGACCGTAGCCAGCGCTTGCTTTCAACTCGGCTACAGGAACATATCTCAGCTTGGTTCTATAAGGATGAAAGGAAAGCAGTAAGGAGTTCTATACTTGAACATCTCATCGACTGTAATCATTCTACTGATCCGCATATTGATTTTAAGATTATTTATATGATTCGATCAATAAATATAGATCGATAATGAACAATTTTCAATCAACCACATACATTTCTTTTAAAAGGTTGAATTGAATTGATCCATTTATATGATGATTAGTACAACTTGATCTTCAATCTGAGGTCATTTACTAATTAAAAGTGATCATTTCGTACTAATCAGAAATAGAATGACTTTAGAACATTGAAGTAGATTCGATTGGAATGTGATGTGATGTGATGCGAATGTTACATAATAATGATTTCATATCAAGTTTCTTGATTTTATGAGAGAGTAGTTGACAATGGTAATAAGAGAATAGGATGGGAACTTCTTCGACACTATGGTGTAATTACAAAGTGATGCATAGAAAATAGCTGACAAAAAAATGCATTCTAAGTGAGAATCAAAATGAGATAAGGCTGTCTATTCTCAGACTTCCTCTTTGTTCTAGTGGTTAACTGGACTATGAATACTTTGACGTCTCATGAGAAGCACGGAATACAATGGATAGGCTTGATGCAGCTAGACGATTTGGAGTTCATAGATGACATGACCCTACTATCCCATATATATGAACTAATGCAGACTGACACAACTAGTGTAACACACACACATACACAATGGAAAAGGCAAGGTCCTCAAGTGCAACATAGAAAACACTAATCCAATCACACTTGATGGCGAAACTCTGGAAGGTGTGAAATGTTCCACGTATCCTGTCAGTATCATCGATGAACATGAATGATCTGATACAGACGTCAAGGTAAGGATTGACAAGCCAAGGACAGGATTCCTACAGTTGAGGAAAATATAGAACTGAAAACAACTATCTGTCAACCAATACCAAAGTCACAATCCTGAATACGAACGTCAAGACAGTTCCACTGTATGGAACTGAAACTTCGAGAACTACTACTACAATCATCATCAAAATGGTACAAATATTTGTAAAAAACTGTCTACACAAGATACTCAATGTCCGTTGGTCGGATACCATCAGCAACAACATACAGTGAGAGAGAATAAACCAAATTCCAACTGAATAGGAAATTAGGAAAAAACGTTGGAAGTGAATAGGGTATACATGACGGAAATGATCAAACTGCATTACGTGACAAGGACTAACTTTGAATCCTGATAGCAAACAGAAAGAAGGAAAATCAGAGTATACCCTACGTTGAGAATTGGAAGCAGACATGAAAAGGATGAATAGCAATTGGAAAGAATTGCTTTGGACAGAGTTCAATAGAGTGCTGGTGTTAGGCCTATACTCCTCCATGAAGTATAAAAGGCATAAGTTTAATTGTACAATGTATCACATCTTAATATTCAATCGAAATGTACGTCCATACAGTTAACGAGTCCTAAATAGGATGGAACACGTGTCTTCGACGTCAATGTTAATGATTATCCAACTTTGTTTAAGCAAATAATATTTGTTACTATTCAATGATCAGTGATGATGTTGGAACTCAATCATACTCTACTAGTAGCATTTTAAACAAGTAATATCAATCCCCTTGGAAGTACATATTCACTAGACAAACTAAATATTATTCAGATGCCTTGAATTATCAATCAAAGAATGTGGTTATACTAAAGTTTCAATAAATGTTCCAATACTAGAATAGAGGCAATGAAATTATTGGTAACATCTGGTTCATAGCTATTATTACTGAATTCTTTGGATCGATTGGTTAGTTTCAAGAGGGAATCTCTGGAACCATGACTAGTGCAGAAAGGTACCCACCAAAGACAATCAAAGATGACCACATAGTGTTGTGGATTAGCTGAAGTTATATCTACGCATCATTGAGTGTCATTTCAATGGTGTAAACAGAGAGAGAGGGAGAGAGCACTTCCGTACTAGACTTAATATCGTTACTTCAATTCCCAGTTGTTACAGAATCATGGATATACACTACTAAAGAGTCTTATCCTAGAATGAAACAGCTGTTCACAATTTCCATGTTTTCTATGATTGTCTCACTTAAATCACTTCATAACTATTGTTATTACAGATCTAGTTTATCATTTACAAGTGATCCCATTTAGTTACATTATAATCTCATCTTATGATTCAACCGTAGGTGTACAGGTGACCACGAAGTCATTTTAATCATTATAAAAGAAGAAAGAGAAGAAGAAAACGAACGAAAGAAGATCAAATTGAGAGAATGAATAATGTTCAAAATTCTATTCATCTATCATAATTTAATATGAAATTGTATCCAACTATAGGTTCTTATGAATTACATTACATTACATTACATGACAACAACAATAATGATAGTTACTATGGTATTTTATTTAACTTTGTACGATAGTCGTGTTATGTGTATAATTAGTTTCAAATGATAAGTGAATAATTGATTTAATGAAGAATAAAATCTTTTCACAAAGGGGGGGGGTCTTGTGGAATTTGTTATATAGATATATAATAAAACCCTTGTGGGTTAGAGTAGTGCTAGGTTTGAAGCGGTTACGAGTTCACTTAATCTGCGAACGAGAACAAAGACTCGGTGACCAAAGATCAATAAGCTAGCTATTCAATGTGTCCCAGCCCCGCTAACTGGAAGAAGAAGTCGATGCTTGAAATGGGGAAGTATATTCCGCAGAATCCAGAAGCACAAGCGATAACAACGGACACAAATCAAAACGTATATATATACAGCACAAAACCGTCCTTAGGAAAAGTTACAAAATAGCATACTAAAAGACACAACGGACCAATAGTATTTAAGATTCTCCGAAGTGGGAAATACGACATGAAGGTGACAAGAGCGCTTTTGGCGCGAATATCCTCTACTCTTATCGGCCATGTTTCACTGCCATAAGGTAAAATGGAACGAACTGCTGTGTAGTAAACGCGTCCTTTGGTTGATAGACGGATATCTCGCCTACGCCATAAATGACGCGAGTTGGCAAAAGCTAGTCGAGCCTTCTGTATCCGTGCTGAGATTTCGTCACACACCAGACCAGAAGGGCTGATGAGAATTCCAAGATAAATGAAGCGGTCGACACACTCAACTACTTCACTCCCTATGATTAGTTCGGATGTCGTTGCAACCCAATCCCAAACGAACATTTTGCATTTCGAGGGAGAGAATCGCTTGCCGAACATGCTTGTATTGTTGCTTAGAGTGGTCAGAAAACTCTGCATTTTGTTAGGGAATATTGTAGAATATCAAAATAGTAACATAAAGGATTATTAAAAAAGTCTACGTCAGAATCATACACTCAAAAAGAATTAATATTTAATCAAGTACTTGCCATGATAATATTGCCCACATTTTATCGCATCATTCGCCATCCAATTCATGATACTATTTACTCCTATGTACCTATATATGTTTGCTACTTTATTATTCAGTCAACTATAATTTTAGTTACCATATTGATATGTGAAAACTTCATTGAATCGATTTGTCATACTTTTTCTTTTCACTCTTCACTATGACAATATACATTTGCATTTAATCGATTTCGTCGAAACAAGCATGTATCTCCTTTAAGGAACCATTCTACTTTCTTCTCAGTGACATTATTCATAACAAGTTCATTAACCTTATTAGTTATGTAAAACACACACATATATATAGATAGATTACTATTACAATTTAGACCGATTTGAGTAGTTTAATCAAGTGAGTTCAGAAAGATTTGATGGATTCAAAGATTATTCTTACTACAGATTATCTTCTAAACAAAGATGAATAGTGGCTGGTATTGGAAACTAGGATGCGTATTTCATCCTAATTGAGACTCGTCAATTAGGATGTACTTATATCTCATAGTTGATGTTCACTTTGAGACTCGAACCCAGCGCCGTTCTCTTCAAACGCCATCATATTATCCACTTAGCCATTGAGTCCTGATAATCGCTTACTTATGCAATGGAGTATTGTTTAAATTCATTTGGTATTGTTTACTTAGATCTTTTTATTGATGTTTAGGACTACAATTGATCAGTCTCTTCTTCTTCCAAGTCACTAACAAACGTAGTTATATATAACCTACTGATTCACTTCATGAGATAGCCAACGGAATTGGTTAATCTTCTCGCTATCTACTGATTAGAATGAACTTGAAAGTTATGAATGTAATTCATAAATTAACAACAAAAGTAACTCATCATTAATTTTTACATTGCTGATTAATCATTAGACACTGGAAAGTACTGTATTATAGCTGCTTCATCTTAGAATATAACATCTTAGTCTCAAGATCTTGACTTCATACCTCATTAAGAATACAAATACATTCAGTTATGGATATCCCATACAAGAATGAAGCAATTATAAAGTGTTTCTAGAATTCTAATGATGATCTAAGTATAAACCGTTCAAAATCAATCAATCAATCAATCAATCAATCAATCAATCAATCAATCAATTGAAAGATCAAGTTACTCATAGCTTACTTCCACAATCCTCCGCTTGATAACCAGCAATGAAAACCACAATAAATATAATGAAGATTCTTGATATTCTCATGTTATTCAATGAAATGGAAGAGAATTATAAACAGTAGATGATCAAAAACGAAAGAACGATTCAATGTATCAATAAGACTAATCATTTGTGTTTGATCATTTTATAACCGAAATTCATAAATGGTATGCATTTCATTGTCTTGATACAATTGTCCAATCAGATGTGAGAAGTAACAAGGTCATTCAGCTCATATACGATTGGTTACTTATGAAGAACGGTTCTTTTGTTGGTTGAGATCATGAATTAATTGATGTTAGACCAGCGTTGGAAACCTGGAAGCACTGGGCGGCCGTTTCGTCCTAGTATGGGACTCCTCAGCAGTGCGCATCCACGATCCCGCACCCCGCGGGATTCGAACCCAGGACCTACTGGCTCAGCGCCTGAGCACTTAACCATTAGACCACTGAGCCGGCATCCAATGGTGTTAGTGTCTAACATCAACCAATCCATGAAATTGCGCGACCACATTCCATTGTTGTTGCTCAGGCTATGATTATTCTTTAAGTTGTGAATTGTTTAATTAAAAAGCTTCCATTATCTCTTTGGATATATTTCAATAAGAATTAAGTTAATAGAACTATATCATAACTAATTAACTGGTTGTTGATTATTGTCCATTGGTATGTGTGACTTTTGTTGGTAATTGAAACAGAATAATGTGAATTCATTAGTGTCATAATTTGTTGTTTAAATGCTTATTGTTTTTGGCTCTTTTAATGCTACTTTTTAATATCTGGTCGTCGTTGGTTGTTATGTCGGAAACGCTTATCACTTATACTTGGAACGAGGGACTTCTGCGATTCCAACGACGCGAGAAGTAAGAACACAGAGACTGGTATATGTGATGATGTAGTGTCAGTGATTATGCCAAGCCCATATACCTTATTCTAGCTTCCGGACATCCCATTTTACTCATTCTACTGGAGCCATACTTTGACCTTGTTAATTAGTCGCTTATCAATCTAGACTAACTCCGCCTGGAGTCCCTCCAGGGGCTACTGCCGGTCCCAAGCCCGTATAAAGGAGGAGGGTTGGGCATGGGGTTAGCGTCCCCATCTAGTAGAAAACTAACTCGCTAAAAAAACGCTAACCAGAAAAAATTATTCAAACCTTTTAAACTCTGCCCTGGGAGTCAGAAGGTCTTCATTTAGAAGAATTACGACGCCTCATGATGAAAGCCGAATCCCTTCGGAAGTTACGAGGCCTATGCCCCTTCTGACAACCAGAGCGACCATTTATTTAGGTACATGGAATGTTCGTACAATGTGGGACATCGGGAGAGTCTTCCAAATTGCTGCAGAAATGAGGAGATACAACCTAGAGGTACTTGGGATCAGTGAAACACATTGGACACAAGTTGGACAACAACGACTAACTTCAGGACAGCTTCTGTTATACTCCGGCCATGAACAAGAAAATGCCCCACATACACAAGGAGTTGCATTGATGCTGTCCAAACAAGCACAAAATGCACTTATAGGATGGGCATCTCATGGACCAAGGATCATCAAAGCCTCGTTTAAAACAAAGAAAGAGGGCATTTCAATGAACATCATCCAATGCTATGCGCCTACCAACGACTACAATGAAGACGCTAAAGATCAATTCTACAATAGGCTGCAGTCAATCATCGAGAAGTGTCCAACAAAGGACCTGATCATTCTGATGGGAGATTTCAACGCCAAGGTTGGAACGGACAACACTGGATATGAAGACATCATGGGACTACACGGACTGGGAGAAAGGAACGAAAATGGTGAGAGATTTGCAAACCTATGTGCCTTCAATAAGCTGGTCATAGGCGGCACCATATTCCCACATAAACGCATACACAAAACCACATGGACTTCACCGGATCACTCTACACAAAACCAAATCGACCATATTTGCATCAACAAAACGTTCAGGAGGACTATAGAGGACGTGAGAACCAAGAGGGGAGCTGATATAGCATCAGATCATCACTTACTGGTCGCCAAGATGAAACTGAAACTCAAGAAGCACTGGACAACGGGGCAGACAGTATCACAAAAGTTCAATATGGCCTTTCTTCAGGATACTAACAAACTCAACAAATTCAAGATAGTCCTCAGCAACAAGTTCCAGGCCTTTCATGATTTACTCAATGGAGAAGGAACTACTGTGGAGAGCAACTGGAAGGGGATCAAAGAGGCAATCACTTCAACATGTCATGAGGTCCTGGGTCACAAGAAGCACCACCACAAGGAATGGATCACTGTTGATACACTGGATAAGACTCAAGAAAGGAGGAACAAGAAGGCAGCGATCAATACCAGCCGAACAAGAGCAGAAAAAGCCAAGGCACAAGCTGAATACACGGAAATAAACAAACAAGTGAAGAGGAGCATCAGAACCGACAAACGTAAATATGTGGAAGATTTAGCAACGAAGGCGGAAAAGGCTGCAAGAGAAGGAAACATGAGACAATTGTATGACACGACAAAGAAACTCTCTGGAAATCGCTGCAAACCAGAACGACCAGTGAAAAGCAAGGAAGGCGAGGTAATCACCAACATTGAAGAGCAACAAAACAGGTGGGTAGAACTCTTCAAAGAACTCTTGAATCGACCAGCTCCACTCCACCCACCCAACATCGAAGCAGCACCTACGGACCTACCAATCAATGTTAGCTCACCAACAATTGAAGAAATCAGCATGGCCATCAGACAAATCAAGAGTGGCAAAGCAGCAGGACCAAACAAAATTCCAGCACAGGCACTAAAAGCAGACGTAGCGGCAACTGCAGGGATACTCCACATTCTCTTCAATAAGATTTGGGATGAGGAACAAGTACCAAAAGACTGGAACGAAGGACTACTGATCAAAATACCGAAGAAAGGCGATTTCAGCATGTGTGATAACTACAGGGGCATCACTCTTCTCTCAATACCAGGAAAAGTCTTCAACAGGGTATGGTTAAACAGGATGAAGGACTGCGTAGACGCCCAACTTCGCGACCAACAGGCAGGATTCCGTAAGGATAGATCGTGTACAGACCAAATCGCAACTCTACGGATCATTGTGGAACAATCAATTGAATGGAATTCATCACTCTACATCAACTTCATTGACTATGAAAAAGCATTTGATAGCGTGGACAGAACAACACTATGGAAACTTCTTCGACACTACGGCGTGCCTCAGAAGATAGTCAATATCATACGGATTTCCTATGACACATTAAACTGCAAAATCGTGCATGGAGGACAGTTGACAAACTCGTTCGAAGTAAAGACCGGTGTCAGGCAAGGTTGCTTACTCTCACCCTTTCTCTTAATCCTGGTGATCGATTGGATCATGAAGATGTCAACATCTGAAGGGAAGCACGGGATACAGTGGACATCTATGACGCAGTTGGACGATCTAGACTTCGCAGATGATCTGGCTCTCCGATCGCAAACGCAACAACATATGCAGGAGAAGACGACCAGTGTGGCAGCAGCAGTAGGTCTCAATATACACAAAGGGAAAAGCAAGGTTCTCCGATACAACACAGCATGCAACAATCGAATCACAATTGACGGAGAGGATTTGGAAGATTTGAAAACCTTTACATATCTGGGTAGCATCATTGATGAACACGGTGGATCTGATGCAGATGTGAAGGTGCGGATCAGCAAAGCAAGAGCAGCATATTTACAATTGAGGAACAACTGGGATTCAAATCAACTCTCTGTTAACCAACACCATGGTTAGGATTTTCAATACGAATATCAAGACAGTTCTACTGAATGGGGCGGAAACCTGGAGAACTACGAAAGCCATCATCCAGAAAATACAATTGTTTATTAACAATTGTCTACGCAAAATATTTCGGATCCATTGGCCGGACACTATTAGCAACAACCTACTATGGCAGAGAACAAACCAGATTCCAGTGGAGGAAGAAATCAGGAAGAAGTGCTGGAAGTGGATAGGACACAGATTGAGGAAAGCACCCAACTGCGTCACAAGACAAGCCCTCACATGGAATCCTGAAGGTCAAAGGAAAAGAGGAAGACCAAAGAACACATTACGCCGAGAAATGGAAATAGACATGAGAAAAATGAACAAGAATTGAATGGAACTGGAGAGGAAGGCCCAGGATAGAGTGGGTTTGATAATGCTGGTCAGCGGCCTATGCTCCATTGGGAGTAACAGGCGTAAGTAAGTAAGTAAGTATCAATCTAGACTGTTTTTATATGAGCGTATGTGTGTGCGCCCTTCTTATTCCATTAATCACATGTCTGTAGCTTTATTTTGTCTGACTATAAATATTGATTAACGATTGTCTAAAATGGAGTTGGCTTCCCAGCCATCTTCCCTGTGTGTCATCTTGCTTTGCTCTGTTTCATTCGCTTCATATACAAAATATATGTATTCACAAATCAATTCTCGTTATTCGACTCATTTAATTCCGTTATTGACTAACGCGATTTAAGTCGACGATGATATACGAGAATAAGCGATAGCAAACATCCATACGATCTAAATAGGAGTCAGATCCACGGGCCACTAAGATGGTGAGCCCTTCAACGAACATCGTCTGATCAGAATGACGGCAAATAAAAGGGACCCACATAAATGGTCAGCCCTTCAACGAATATCGTCGATCTAAATGAGGGCAAAATCAAACTACTGGCCTCCACAATGATTTATTAACCCAGAAAAAACGTCGACAAAGACGGCGGCGACTATAGTCGAAAATACATTCATTTATTTATTGATTGTATACCCATTTTGATTAATAATTATGATGAAATGACAAACTGAGCATAGTTCTAATCAATGGAATACAAGAATATCTGGCATATTATACAGGATAGAATATCATACGAGAAAAGAAAGCAAATACTTCACTGAATGATCATCACATTGAATCAGAACGGAAGTAATCTTGAACCGAAACTCATAATGAGTAAATCAAATTGGAAAATTGACTTTTCTTTCTATCATATCAATTAGGTTTCATGACTTCTCATTAACTTTTAACAAACACTGACATGTATTAAAGTGTGATATTAAGCGATGAATCAATCGATATTGATGATCGAAGAAATTGGTAAGAATAGGTTTTAGATC